GCCTCCTATCTGCCTGCTTTTTGTTTTACAAATGTCTTGGGTTTTCAACTTTCTTTCTCCTTATATCCCTTTGAAACACTTCTGTTTGCTGATTTTGGTGACCGTCTTTCCTGGCATCCCCTTGCCTCCTGGTTTGGAATTGAGGTTTGCAGGTGCCTCTGGAGTTGGAGCTTGCTGTGTTTCACTGTGCGTTCTTCCTCCCTCTCTGTTCCCCCCTCTCTGTTGCCGTGGTGTTGCCTCCTCTCTGACCCAGCGGCCCCAGTTAACGACCAAGTCTACTACTGATGGTTCTGGCTTTTCTCGGGGGCAGAGACTCTGGCAAGGTGCTGGCATTGCCCTTGACCTGCCCACCTGGCCAGGTCTGCTTCCTTCTCCCTCCCTTGGACGGCAGCTTCCGGCCGGTGGCCGCCCGGGCCATGGCCACTGCTTCCCTTCAGTCTCATTTCACGGGTAGGGGGGTGCTTTCTGGTCCCACATAGGGGGCCTGGCTTTGTCCCTACCTGACTTGGGGTGCTTTTACTCCCCATTATGTCAAAAGGAGCCAAAATGGCCGGTTTTCCTCTTCTGTTCTCAGACCCAGAGCCCCATGCTCCAGCCTCACCTACCCCCACTCACAGGTTTGTGTCCTGTGCTGGTTTTATTTTTTTTTTCCGTATTGAAGTATAGTTGATTTACAGTGTTGTGGTGTTACTTTCAAGTGTACGGCAAATTGATTCAGATAGATAGATAGATACATAGATAGATTCCTTTTCAGATTCTTTTCCATTGTAGGTTATTACAAGATACTGAATGTAGTTCCCTGTGCTTTAACAGTAGGTCCCTGTGGGTTACCTATTTTATATATAGTAGTGTGTATACATGTGTCCTGTGCTGTTCATTGAACACTGGGATGTTTTACATCTATGTGTTCCTGTGCCTTTTTGGTTTTCTCTTATTTCTAGTCGGTCTTTACTCAGCATTTGAGAACAGAAGATCCTGAAAGGATCGTCCTACAAAGCCATATTGACTTAGGTATTTCCCTGAAATTGTGTTTCAAAAGAAGATTAAAATCAAGGAAGATTCAAAGTTCTCATGAATGTTTCCTTTGGCGCTTAAAATAATAGTCCCAGGCAACCAAGAGAAAGGAACAGGAAGCCACACTGTGATGACAGCATCTTTATGTGATTTTTCCCAGACCAAAGGCACACGGGGTGGACAAGGATAGAGCCCAATGCTGGGGCCTCATCTAAGCATCTAGGTTAACTCAGTGCATGATCTTGGCTGCCAGTTATTGAGCTCCTCCTCTCTCGCTGTTAGACTGAGACCTCCCCCACCGATTCTGAAAGCCTGTGGTTCTCTAACCAGAGGGCAGCATAGCCCAGTGTCCTGTGATCCAGAAGCAGTGTCCCAAGTGTTCCCTTCTTACCTACTCCCACCCTCAAATGACTGCCTGGCCACCACCTCCAGGGCTGCCATTCCAGAAATTACAGCACTTAACAAAGTCTGTTTGGGGTCACAGAGAGAAAGTTTGCTCAAATGCTACTTAGGCTTTTCATTTTTCTTCTTCCTTTCCCTCTGACCCAAATTTGAATTCCTAACTAGTGTTTCAGAAAGTCCCAGTTGGGAGGTAAAGGGGAATAGGGGTGACTGTCTTCTATTCCACAGAGGGAGACGTTGCAGCCAGCAAAGTTTCAGGAACTTGCACGAGGTCACCCAGCAAGTGGACAAGGCAGGACTTTTGAAGGCAGGTCCATCTGCTTCCACAGCTGCCCTGCCTCAGCATAGCGTGCCATTCCCGGGCAGATGGAGGGTGGTCCTCTGAGCAGCTGCCATAGTAACAAGGGTCTCTGTAGTATATCTCCATCCCCATTGATGGCTCTCAGAGCAATTCCTCAGTCAGAAAGCTGCAGGTGACCACGAGTACTTACCAGCAACTCTAGCACCCACCCAGGTTTCGGGCCAACTTTTCTTCAAATATCCCACTAAATCTTTTCAATTGGGGCCTTTATTGAAATCCCGGGGCACAGTTTTTGCAGATCAAGTCAAGAGCTCTTTCTCCACTCACCATCACTTAACTCTCAGGGCACTGTTACAACCTCAGAGCAAAGCTCCTCTGCCAAGACAAATAGGTCTCTACTTTCTGTTGTTTTCTTGACTTCATAATTCTTGGCTTAGGGCAAAACTGCGAAGCTGGCAGCTTTCATCCCCACCACCCCTGCTGGCTCTGCTCTGCACCCTTTCCTCCCTTCAGAGGCCCTGTCACCCTCACCCCTGCTCCTCAGTCCCACCCCCTCCTCACTCAAAGCTGCTCACACCAGAAAGACAGAGATTTGGGCATGGCAGCAAAAAGGGGCCTCTGTCCCAGGGGATTTCCATATTGAAGAGAGTGCATTCTTTAAGCATGCACCTGTCCACCTGTGCGCACATGCACGCATACACACACACACACACACCACACACACACAAGGTTTATTGTTTTATGATTAGATAATTGACACATGTACATCACAGAAAATTTGAAAAGTACAAAAAATATAAAGAAGAAAGTCAAAACCTGTAATCCAACCACCCAGACAAACCTCCATTAGCTCTTTATTTCCTTCCAGTTCTTTGTCTTAATGTATATGCGTATATGCATGCATGGATAGATCATACATATATACATTCTAGGGCCTGTTTCAACGCTATCTTGTTTCGTTGCTGTGACTGCCAGTTCTCCCTCAGTACCACAGTGCTGACATTATTATTGTTTTATAATCAACTTTAATCCCTGATGGCTCGAATTCTCCATCATCACTTTTTTTAAACATTTTAAAAATTACTCTTAACTCTTTCTTTTTCCTGGTGAATTTTAAATTTATTTATTTATTTATTTTTGGCTGCGTTAGGTCTTTGTTGCTGCACGCGGGCTTCTACTCTTTGTTGCTGCACACGGGCTTTTCTCTAGTTGCGGCGAGCGGGGGCTACTCTTCGTTGTGGTGTGCGGGCTTCTCATTGGGGGCTTCTCTTGTTGCGGAGCACGGGCTCTAAGCACGCGTGCTTTAGTAGTTGTGGCACAGAAGCTTGGTTGTTGTGACTCGTGGGCTCTAGAGCGCAGGCTCAGTAGTTGTGATGCACGGACCTAGTTGTGCCGCGGCATGTGGGATCTTCCCGGACCAGGGCTCGAACCCATGTCCCCTGCATTGACAGGCGGATTCTTAACCACGGTACCACTAGGGAAGTCCCCTGGTGAATTTTAGATTCACTGTGATAAATAAGCCATTGCTTGTTGGGTTGCAAGTTTATTGCACTTATAAATTAATTGGGTAAAATTGGCATTTTTACAATATTCGAATTTTCCGTCCAGAAATATTGTATGTCAGACCTAGATCTTCTTTAATATGTTACAGTAAAGTGAAAAGATTTCCTTCAGATGGGTCCTACATGTTCTTTTTGAGGTTTCTTAAAATTTTTAATTTTTTGTTGGAAATTGGGATCTTTCTTCTTTACATGCTTCTGATTTGAATTATTGACTTGGAAAACTTATCCTGCATCTAACCCTTACTCTCTAAATAATTCTAATACTTTATCAATTGACTCCCTCCTTTTCCCCAGGAAGATAATTATACCATCTGCAAATAATAATTTTATCTTCTCCTTCATATGTATAATTTTGTGAGTCACTGTACAACTTTAAGAACCATGTTAAATAATATCAGTAAAATCAGTGATTTTTCTTAATTTACTATGGATTATTTCAATTGATTAAGGAGCTATTTTTCTAATCTTAGTTTTTAGTCTTTTTTTTTTTTTTTTTTTTGCGGTACGTGGGCCTCTCACTGTTGTGGCCTCTCCCGTTGTGGAGCACAGGCTCCGGACGCGCAGGCTCAGCGGCCATGGCTCACGGGCCCAGCCGCTCCGCGGCATGTGGGATCTTCCCAAACCGGGGCACGAACCCGTGTCTCCTGCATCTGCAGGCGGACTTTCAACCACTGCGCCACCGGGGAAGCCCAGTTTTTAGTCTTTTAAATCGAGATTGGATATTGAAACTTCTCAGATATATTTTCATAATATGTTGAGATTATCATATTTTTCTTATTTTACTTGTTAATATTAGAAATTACCGTTATAATTTCCTAGCACTAAAGTATCTTTATATTTCTAGGATCACACCTACTTTTTCCTGGAGAATTTTTTTTTTTTGCAGCTATGTGGGCCTCTCACTGTTGTGGCTTCTCCCATTGGGATCTTCCCAGACCGGGGCACGAACCCGTGTCCCCTGCATCGGCAGGCGGACTCTCAACCACTGTGCCACCAGGGAAGCCCTTCCTGGAGAAATTTTTAAATGTACTCTTGAATTTGATTCATTGATGTTCTATTTAGGATTTGTACAGCTGCCATATGCACAAGTGAGATTAGTTTACAGCAGCGTGTCCCAAAGTCTGTTCTATGGAACACTATTGCTATGAATTGTGCTACAGAAAAAGGAAGAGCAGGGAAGTCCTGTGTTAAAACTAATTTAGAAAATAGTACATATCCCTCTTGGAGATTCACAAGGTATATTCCCATTTTAAGATTCTGAGACAAGCTGGGGTTAAAAAGAGAAAAAAGAGAGAAACTTGGGTTTAAATTCGCATAACCCAGCATTTCCCAAACTGATTGACCATACGAGTCCCTATCTGACATAATCCCTATTAACATCTTGCAGAGCTCATGTCTGAGGCATGCACTTTGGAAACTGTCTTTGTCAGTGTTGACACTGGTTTCGCTGGAAACCTCTTCCATCAGAAGTTCTAATCAAAGGCTTATAATCAATTAAACTCCATTGCTGCTACCCTACACAATAAGATACTTATTGTTTCTTCCAATTAAAGTTGATGCCTTTCAGTTTCATGATTCTGGGACATTGTCTCACTCCACTGGGTCCCTTTGGGATCTCAAGGATGCAGAAAAACTCAACCTTCAGAAGGATCCAGTTCGGGGTTGTCTTTATTTAACCTTCCCTCCAAGCTTGACTGGTTCTTCCTTGATCTTCTCCTCAGTTCACGGGACTACATGGTCTGGGCCCTCTGCCACTGATGTCTTCACTCCAAAGCAGCCTGACTCTTCAACTCAAGTGACCTTATGTGGCCTAGGTAACTTTTCCTCCATCCCTTGTCCTGCATCCTGAAACCGTCTGTTTCCACTCACCATCCCCTTTGCTCTCTCTTCTCCTCCCAACTCCAAAATCCCACTTTTTCTATAAATACCCAAGAGATACTCAAGACTGAGAAACACATAATCTTAGTTGCTAAAAAGTTCCCAGAAGCAAAACCCTTCTAGACGTTGCGGGGGATAGATAGATTTACCGTATGGCCTCTGCCCTTCGGCAGCTCTGATTCTTGTGCTGGGGATGAACAAGTATCAGATCATTGCAGCGAACCTTTTGCCCAGTGCCTGGCATAGGAAGAGCTCAGTAGCCATTGACTAACATCACACTGAATAGAAAGTGATAAATGCCTTATAGAGTTATGTGTATGGTGTGTGGTTAATCTTCTGAAGAATTCACAGAGCAGTGACATTTGAAAGGGGTTTAAAAGGATGAATAGGAGCTCATGTGGTAGAGCAAGGAGGCAATGAAACACTTTGCAGCTGAATCAGACTTTCCAAAACTCTTTCACATACCAACCCCACTCGATCTTCACGACACTGTGAGGTAAACTTCATTGTTTTTCTATTTTTCTATTGAGGAGGTTAAGGATCACTTGCAGCAATGAGCTTTCCCAAATCAAAAGATTTCAGGAATACATGAGTAGCTGTCCTAGCACTCTGATAAGAAACAGCCATTCTTAAGAGGTGTTGAGGTCCCAGGAAAACAAGGCAGGTATGGTCCCTGCCGTCATGGAGCTCATAGGCTAGATTCACAGAACTTCAGGGCTGCAAATTCTCCCCATGTGGAGGGGTTTTTTTGTTTTTGTTTTTGTTTTGAGGTACGCGGGACTCTCACTGTTGTGGCCTCTCCCGTTGCGGAGCACAGGCTCCAGACGCGCAGGCCCAGCAGCCATGGCTCACAGGCCCAGCCGCTCTGCAGCATGTGGGATCTTCCCGGACCAGGGCACGAACCCGTGTCCCATGCATCGGCAGGAGGACTCACAACCACTGCGCCACCAGGGAAGCCCCATGTGGAGGTCTTTAGCTCAGCAATTAGAGAGCTGAAGAAATTGCTTTTTTCCACAGACTGAATCTGGGCCCACCTTTAGCCTAGGAGTAAATGGTGCAGCAGCCAGAGTGTGAGGCCGGCAGACACCCTCAAGGTGGGGGTAGGCAGGGGGCGGGGGGCACCCCTGGCTTACATCTGAACCTCCGGGGAAGCCATAAAGAATACTGGTGCCAGGTGTGCCCTGGACCACTGAAGTCAGAAGCTGGGTTTTGGTGGGAGGGGGTAGTCATGGGTACGTTTAAGTGTCCCACTTGATTCTAATGTGCAACCAGAGTTATAAACCAGTGTTCTGATAGAAAGGTTGGGGCAGTATAGGGACCCAGTTGTGAAGTTCTAATTCTGCTCCTTTACTTCTCTTTCCCCTGCCTTCCTCCTGTATCCCTGCAGCTCCTTTCTGCTGGTCCCATTCTGAGCACCCACATCTGCTCCATCCCAGCTACCTAACATGGGGGCTGAGATGTGCTCCTGGGTTCATCACCACGAAAAGCTTCACTCTCGGATCCTAAGGATGCATTTAAAAGGGGCCTTCTCAGGAAGGACTTAATGGTCATAACGGTGACAAATAAGGCACAGAGAGAGCCAAGGTGCAGTGGGCCTTCGGGTTTCTGTTCAGTCGCACCACAGAGGCAGCCATCTGCTGGGTTAGGGCTGGTCCTGGTGTACAAAGGTAGGTCAGCTCTCACTGGTGAGACTACCTTCCCTCTCCCCACCCCTGCCTCAGGAGAGTTAGAAGAGATTCATATCCTGCTGCTTGCCCATGGCCAGAATGGCTCCAGGTACACAGCCCAACAGAGGCCGGGGCCTGGAGCAGAGCAGGTGCCAACCCAGCTGGGGAGCTCATTCTCCCCTGCCCCACCCACCTCTCACCTCCCCTCGGGCATTTTCTCAGTGACCCAGAGAAGGAAAAGAAGTCCTGCAGTCTCTGCCCAGACACGTGGTATTATGGGCCTTTGTGCAGCTGAGCCTGCCCTGCCCCAAGACCTTGATGCTTTCCTAGGGCGGGGGTGATTCCCCCAGCCTGCAGCAACTGGAACATGTTCTGGAATTCATCTGGATTACCAGGGGCCATGAGAGGAGGTGGACAGGGACACTGACCAAAGGTCCCAAAGCGATACAGTCCAGCTTACCTGATGCCAGAGAGTGAGATGTTATGGTGACAGAAGCCAGCTTTAGGACTGTCATCCTATTGGTTGGTTATCACTACTGTTATCTGATTTACATATTTCCATAAGTATTTATTGCACTAGATCCCTCTGGGCTTAAGTCAATGATGTAATGGGAAAAAGGACCCACAGATGAAACCCTGCCTGTGGATGCAGAGCGTTAGATGGTAGACTCCCCAGCCATCAGCTGGATGGAGGTGGGTGTCCCTGCAGAAGTCTGCCTTTTGGTCCTCCTTGGCCTGATTTCTTCAACTGTAGAATCAAAAGAGCACTGCTGACTCCAGGGCTGCTCCCCTAGGATGTTGTAAAAGTGAACAAGTTATTGATGGCAGGGAACTGGCAGTCTCTGAGTGGAAAGGGTAATAAATCAAACATTCCATTATGTCTGTTTCCAGTTTCTCCTTTCAGTGAATGTTTGCTCATCATCTACAGCATGTAGCAGCATGCCCCTGCTCTAGTAATGCTAACCTTCTGTGTGTCATAGGTTAAGAGCATAAACTCGGGATCCAGTCTGCTTAGATTTTAATCCCGGCTCTCTACTTCCCAGCTGGGTGACCCTGGGTAAGTTACTTCACTTCTCTGTGCTTCAATTTCCTCATCTGTTCAGTGAAGATAATAATAGTACTTACCTCACAGGGTTGTTATAGAGAATCAATGTGTTAATATATATAAAGCACATGAGAAGCGCTCAACAAATTTTCACTACGAAGATGATTAATACCTAGCACTTTCACATAATGAGTTCACAGAAGCTTATTTATGCTTGGCACCTAAACTCTAACACCGTGTTTTTCTAACTTGTCTGGTGTTTAAAAAACAAAAATACCCAAGGTACTTGTGAAAAATAGAGGTTCCAGGCCACTGCCCTGAAGATTCTGATTCAGCAGGTCCGGAAGGGATCCGAGAAGCAGTATATTTAACAAATGGCCCAGGTGATCCTAATGAAGAGTTTAGGGAATCAGCTGCTACAATGGGGCTAAGAGGCAAAACCTGGCCTCTTCTGGGCTTCCCTGTACTCCCTCTGCCAGTTAATCTGAAACGCCAGGGAGGGGAAGGCTTTTTCCCTTTGGAGCTTTGGAAAAGCTCACATTGTCTCCCCCATCCCATTTCAGCAAGAGAGGCTTCCTAGAAGAGGTGGAGGGATTTCCAGGACTGGAACAAAGAGAGAGACCTTGACTCACAGGCAAGAAGACGGTGAGTTATTGCAAGACTGGGGACGCAGGAGAAGACGTGGCCATGGCAGGGTGGGCCAGGGGTGCCTAGAGGCACCCGAGTTTGGCACTTCTTTGAGAATTGCACGTGTTTAGAGTCCTGCGCTTCACAGCATCTGGTCAGTCTCTCCAGGCGTCTGTTCTTCCTTACACCCAGGATAAAATCCTGAGGTCCCTGTAAACTACAGGCCCATTTTCCCAGAAATTCAGACCCTGTTCTTGAATCAGGTGTTCATTGATTGAACCACATCTCCTGAGCATTCACCAGGCATTGAGAACACAAAATTGTGTGAGTCTATGACCAAGAGCTTCTCTCTGAGTGTGATTCAGACCTCTCTCCATGGAGAAGCTCGGAAGCTTGGCGTCCCGTGGGAAGGACATGTGAGAAGCTATTAGCAATGCCAAGTGACAAGTGTGTGCTAGTGGTCCACCACCGCTGCCATGGGAGCTCTGAGGAGAGGTGAACTCTTCTGGGGAGGTGAGTGTTGCAGTCTTGGAAGGCTCCTCAGAGGAGTTGAGCCAGTTCTTGAAGGATGAGAAAGTGCAGTCAGACTGCCAGAGTAAGAAGAGGTATTCTTTTTTTAATAAATTTATTTATCCATCTATTTTTGGCTGTGTTGGGTCTTCGTTGCTGCATGCCAGCTTTCTCTAGTTGCAGCGAGGGGCTACTCTTCGTTGCTGTGCACGGGCTTCTCATTGCAGTGGCTTGTCTTGTGGTGGAGCACAGGCTCCAGGCACACGGGCTTCAGTAGCTGTGGCACGGGGGCTCTGTAGTTGTGGCTCGAGGGCTCTTGAGCGCAGGCTCAGTAGTTGTGGAGCATGGGCTTAGTTGCTCCGCGACATGTGGGATCATCCCGGACCAGGGCACGAACCTGTGTCCCCTGCACTGGCAGGCAGATTCTTTTTTTTTTAAATGTATGTTTATTATCAAGATTTATGCTGTGACTTGCAAACCTCAAGGCATTTTTTTTTTTTTCAAATGTATTATTTTTGGCTGTGTTGGGTCTTTGTTACTGTGCGCGGGCTTTCTTTAGTTGCAGCGAATGGGGGCTACTCTTCGTTGCGGTGTGCAGGCTTCTCATTGCGGTGGCTTCTCTTGTTGCGGAGCATGCGCTCTAGGTGCACGGGCTTCAGTAGTTGTGGCTCATGGCCTCTAGAGCACAGGCTCAGTAGCTGTGGCACACAGGCTTAGCTGCTCTGTGGCATGTGGGATCTTCCCGGACCAGGGCTTGAACCCGTGTCCCCTGCATTGTCAAGCGGATTCTTAACCACTGCGCCACCAGGGAAGCCCCTGGCAGACAGATTCTTAACCACTGCGCCACCAGGGAAGTCCCAGAAGAGGTATTCTAATTTTTTAAAAAATTAGAGGAAAGACAGCAAGGTGTAAAAGGGCACAGATGTGGCTGGAATGCAAAGACTGAGCATGGGGATGGGAAAGTAGGTTGGTCTGGCTCCCAGAGATCCCTGGGTTCCATGCAAGGCATCCCTCCCTCCCCATGGGGAGAGCAGCAGGGAGAGAAAGCCCCAGGATGATGTCCATCCCCAGCAATGTTCTTCACTTCCACGGAAAATCCAGCCCCTCACTTATCTAGGAACAGGAAGCAGCACTCACTGTAACTGAACCTTTTTCCGGGACTTGCTTTACCCACGATCAAATCCTGGCCCAGTCTCTGCCTGAGGCCAAATTAGGCCCTGGTGTTATGTGCTAGCCAAGTCTCCTCTCGTGAAGTGGGTGTGGCTTCGTGGTCATTTTGTAACTTCCTGAATGCGTCTTTGAAGCTTTGGAACAAGCCGGGACCTATCTGTGCCCTCAGATCTCTATGAAGGAGAGGGTATAGTTAGAGCCGTTATCCCCAGAGTGTGCTGGGCAGGAGGTGGTGGGGGGTTGGGGGGGGTGGGGGGCGGGCTTTAGGATGGGCCCTTGCTTCTGCCCAGATGCCCCCTCCCACCTGTCATGATGCTATAAATTCTTACCATCTGAGTCACATTTACAATCCTGTAGAAGTGGGTAAGGCTGTGTCACCTTGGGTTGGTAAGTCACAGGTGTTTATTGGTGCTCCTTCCACACTTTTCTATCTTTGCACCTGTCACCTCTGTTTAGACAACTGCCACATTTGTCTGATGAGCAGGCCTATTAGCTGTGCCCGGTATTTTCGATGGCCAGCAGGACATTTATGGCTGAGAGCAGTGTATCCTTGTTGTTAAGGACAAGGACTCTGGAGTCCGTCTGAGTTTGGAACCAGTTCCACCTCCTATGTCACCTTAACTTTTCTTTGCCTCAATTCTTTTATCCGTAAAATGGGAATAGGAAAGTACCTACCTCCTTGGGCTGTGGGGAAAAGAAAATGAGCTCATACACATAAATTTCTCCAACAGTGCCTGGCACACAGTAAGCACACAATAAAAATTAGCTGTAAGTATTATCTCCTTTCAGAAGTCCTGCTCTCACTTCAAACTCGTATGTCAAAATGGAGACCTGAGTTCTTAGTTCTGGCCTGGTCCCTCCGTTAAAGAGCTCTAGAGGCTCTTATATAACAGGCAAAGAAATGAAGCCCAGGGTGATGAAGCGACTTGCTCAGGGTCACACAGAAAGCCAAAGGGAAAGCTGGTGCTTCAGACTCACGGCCACTTCCCATGAGCCTGCTCGCACCAGCCCGGTGACCCCACAGGAAGCTTCGGGCACTGCGGAGAGTCCTTGAAGAACAATTTAGACTTAGTGCCACAATCGCCTGGGCCACTTTTTGAAAATGTACATTCCTGTGGTCCCCTATTGAATTCTGATCCAGTAAGTCTAGGATGGGGCCCCAGATTAGCATTTTAAAAAGCACACCTTCTTCCCTTCCCCCAACCAGGCAATTCTGATTCAGCTGGTCTGCACTTTGAAAAATGCCTCTCAAAAGCCAGTCTCCCTCACGTGCTGCCACTGGAGATGAAATCCCAAGCAGGGCCCAGTAAGGCCCTCTGGCCAGCCCCAGGCTGCACCAGTGCAGTTACTAGGCATGCCTGTGATCCTCAGAGGTATTTCAGGAATTTGGTCACATTCTTTCACACTCTCATCCTGAGAAGGAACTGCCAGTCCTTCAGACAAAGATGCACCTGTACCCCTGCAAAATCAGTGGGGCATTCAACACCAAGATTATCATTCCACTGAGCATTGTTTACTGCAATCGGATGCTGGGAGCTAGGGGGATTGTGGGTAATCTGATTCATGGCACCTCCCTCCTCCATGGGTGACCTCATCAAAGGCTCACTGCATGCAATACTGCCTCAGAAGCTTCCGTCCTAACTTTCCTACAGCACTGACTGTGTGGCCCTTCTTACCAGAGGGAGGAAATCAAATACTCGAAGAAAGAACAGATACTCAAAGAGCAGTGTTTTGAGATAGTGGCAAGAAGGACAGTTCTTTATATCTGCTTATTAAGGGACTCTGGCTGTGGACAACTATCCACTAGGAAAAGAGAAAGCATTCCCAAACTAAGTGCTCAGTTCTGAGATATTTTTTAAAATGTTGACAGGAGTCATCCAGCTTATGGAAGATTTCATTTTGGAGGGTTTTAAGAGCTGTTTCTTCTCAGCTTTTGACTTTCTCTTGCTCAGAACTTGTACCCGGGCCTGTGTTCATTTATTTCCATTTCTGAGTTATCACTGGGACACAGAGATAACAAGGTCTGCTGATCAGAATACAGCTGTGAGGACTAAGAAAGACCATAATAACTGTCCTGCAGCAATCTGAGGTTGGCCTTTCTCAGCAGTGTGGCCCGCAGGGGCAAGTGCATAACCTTCAGGATCACCCAGAATGGGTTCCAGTCCCAGATCTGCTGGTCTCTGGCTGTGGGGCCTTGGACGGGTTACTTAATTCTGAGTCTCCATTTTCCTGTCTGTAAAATGTGGATACTTATATTGAACTTATAGGGCTTTTGTGCTGATCAAAGGACACAGTGAATGTCTAGCATGATGCCCATCACAAGACAGCCAATATATAGTTGTTATTCTTTTGTTCCCTATTTTCTTCTTGGTAACAGTGATTGTGATTGTGCCATTGTTCAACTAAAGAGAAAAGGAATCATTCTGAAGCTAGAAGAAAGGGAAATGAAATAAAGCATATTTAACCCATCCAGTGGAAGACAATAAAGCAAAAAAGAGAGAGAGAGAGAGAGAAGGAAAGACACAAGTAACTAGAAAACAAAAAGTGGTAGAAGTTAGTTAAAATATATCAGTAAACAAAACAAATATAAACAGATTAAACTCATCTGCTAAAGAACAAATTTTCAGATTGGATTTACTTTTTTTTCCATTCCCTCATTCAAGCAATAATTATCTACTATGTTCTAGGCACTGGTCAAAGCACTGGAATCTAGCTAAAAGCTATTCACAAAGTATACATGTAAAGACAAAGAAAGAAGACAGTTGAAAGCAAAAGATTAGGAAAAAATACACCGGGTAAGTATTAACTAAAAGAAAGTTGATTTAGCAATATTAATTCAAAACAAAATAGACCTTAAGACAGAAACTTGGCAATAAAGAAGGTCTTGATAAAGGGAACAGTTCACCCAAAAAATATAACTATCTTGAACCTATACTCATAACATAGCCTCAAAATACATAAAGCAAAAACTGACAACATTATAAGGAAATACTGACAATCCACATCACAGTAGTAGACTTTAATCACTTCTCTCAGAAAGTGTTCCAACAAACAAAAATTAGGAAGGATATAGAAGATTTGAACTACAGGTTAAATTTATGACCCTTGCATCTCATAAATAAAGAATAAATAGCTTTTCAAGTAAAACTTATAGGAATTAATCAGTACCATATGCCACAAAGGCACTAAAGAATTGATAATATACAATTAATTCTCTGTGCAGTGCAATAAAATTATAAGTCAGTAACCAAAACCTTTCCACACAGAACCCATGTGTTAAGAAAATTCCTAAGTAGATTTCTAAATAATTAATGGGTCAGAGGAAGAATGATCATGGAAATTTTAAAATATTTTATAACTGAATAACAGCAAAGTATTACATAGCAAAGAGCAACATAAATTCAATTACCACCCCACGGGCATCTCCATAGCACAGCGATATGCCAAGAGCTTGGGGCTCAGACAGCAGACGGAAGCCTTGAAAACTAGAGCAGGTGGAGTTACAGTAGTGCTAGAGAAGATTATTTCTCAAATACCTTTTTTTTTTAAATTGAAGTATAGTTGATTTGCAATATTGTGTTAGTTTCAGGTGTATAGCAC